TCGTGGTGGTGATGTAATTACATCAACCTCTTCTCTCCACAGGTTTCCGGCATGTAAACTTTACCTTTAGAGCAGTTCACCTAGTTTCTTTATCCACGCTTTACTGGTGTATGCCTTATCCTCTTCTTTCCAATACCGCCAACACAGTCAGTCATATTGCCTTCAAGGTGGGATTATTTTTTGGAACCATCGCACCGCCCACCAAAGTACAGGTTTTTGTCAAGACGTATTGCGGTACGCGGTATATGCGAAAGTTACTGCCAAACAATAGTAGTTGGTTCTTCTCACAATCAGCTTGTAAAAGGAAAGCGTTACACCTATACCGATATCTTCCAGAGGAGAAAAAAGGTGTTGTATTTGGGAATAATGCCTTGCAGAAGACACAATTTTTGTCTATTATGAAAAGTTTTTAAAAAATTTATTCTACCCAAGTGCCAGCCTTTTGTAATGGATTGGTGGATCGGTGAGTAAGTGACTGCCCAAATTTTCGAGGTTAGGTCAAAATTTCAGAATTCGCTAGAAGTTTCGCTCAAAGGAGAGTCTCCCTGATTACGAATATCATACTTGTTCGAAGCAAAAATGCCTGGCGCCTGCGCTACAAGCGCCCAAAGTAGTGAGGAGCGATGCCGCCCAAGTTCGTTATTAATTGCCCTTAAATTCTTTGTACTGTTAACTATACGCAAGCATGTTGGACTAGCGATGTTAGGAATCTTCCTAGCTATCTTACTGCAAACGGCAAAAGAACAAACTCGCCAGGGAGTCGATCCCCTGACCTCTTTTTCGTGAGCCTCGACCACAGCCCCTGCGCTTTTCTGCTTCATAATTCCTTTCAGAGAAGAGTTCAGCAGATAAGGAAAGCATATTTGAGCTCAGCGTCCCAAGGCGCGTATAGACAAGTACATTTCATTTCGATTGGCCGGGTTGACCAAATGATTATAAGTTGTCCATCCCAACCAGCCTCTAGTGAAGGGCTGATGGATAAGTTACCTCATGATCTTTCGAGGTCAACCAAAATTTCAGAATTGGTAAAAAAAAATATGCCAAAAGAAACTTCTCGAAAGGAACTGCTCGTGTGTTCCTTGTACAACAACTACCGAGCTCTTGTCTATTAGCCCAGACCACTTTTGATACGTTTTTTGCTTTATAATTCTATCCAGAGAACAGCTTAGC